GATGGCGGCTTTCGATGACATGAAGTATTATTCTGCCAACTGGGGAATGGAGGAGCCGATGAGTTGGGGCAACAAGTCTGGATGTGATTTTATTCAAAAGGGTTGCCTCACAGAAAACGGCGTCTCGAATTATCCCAATGCATTCTGTACTGGAGAAGAAAAGATACGGTGTTCAACTGATCATTTTGGATTTGCGTTTTGCGCCAATGAGAGTGACATTGGTAGAGAAAATGCTGATTCAACAGGATCTTGTCCCGTTCTTGTTTCACCTCTTTCTGTTCGTAGCGATGGATCTCTTCGTTCTCGTGCCTGTCCTGACCTTGGAGATGCTGACTTTCCTGGATTTTTGACGGGCGAGAACTCGATGTGCTTGACTACAGAGGATTATGAGATAGTGAAGAACGATGATGCCATTAAACTGAGCGGAGTGTGTGCAGAGGTGTTGTGTGATGAAAGCAATCGTAAAGTGAAGGTGAGGTACAGTGACTTATCGGAATTCCAAGAATGTCCTGAAGGAGGTACAATCACAGTAAGCTCTTCTTCTGCTTCATTGAATTTCACCACAATCCACTGTCCCAATTACACTGAAGTGTGCACCATTGCCCCCAACGGCAGCAGTCTTCTTCCACTTGTCAAACCACCTGATCCGACACCCCCTGGTGGTGGTGGTGGTCATGGTGATGGTTGTGCCACTGCTGCCCCCATCGCTTTGTCAGCTATTGCCCTCATGGTTATCACGCTAATGCTATTACCGTAAACGGTATCAATGGTCCCACTTAACGCCATGAGATAGTGACACAGTGATGTCATGTGCTCAGCAGTAAACGTACCCACGTGATGGTGAACCAGTATTTACTTATACAGTACACATATATATATGCGTATGTTTGGTTACGGCATGAAGTAATGTTAATTGATATGTTTTTTTTTATTTTCTGTGTGTGAAAGTTAATTGTTTTATGGTAGATAATATCTGGAGCTGGGTGGTCCTCACTACTTTGTGAGCCTATAAATATATTTTCTAAATAAGTGTCTCTGTGTCTCTGGGTGGCGTTGCTGCTTTGTTGCGCTCTGTTTCTGTCGTTGGTGTATTTTCTTTTGGGTGGTTTTTTTTTTCTTTTTCTACACCGTGTGAGTGTATGCGTTTCTTGTGCCTTTTCCTCTTCTTTTTTTTGGCCGTACAGGTCATGTAGCGTAAGAAAAGGTGGACATGGCTCCGAGAACGGTTCGGTGTGTGGGTTTTCTGTTCTGCACCGGGGACTTTGCTCTGTTGCAGGTCTTGTGAAAACTGTGAGAGCTGGATTTTGTATCGGGTGTATGCTGGGTTTTCAATGTTGTGCAGTGTATTCACATTGATGACAAGTGTAACACAAATTTTGGATTTTGAGGTTTTTTTNTTTTTTTGGTTTGTTTTTGTTTTTGGACATTATCTGTTGCTGTGGGTGTGTTGTCTCTGCGCAATGCGAGGATTGTGAACACACAATAATAATATTATTAATAAACATAAAAAAAAAAAGGAGAGGAATAACTGTAAAAGAAAAAAAAAAAGAGATAAAGGAGATAAAAGGGGGAAATTTCGTTATTTGTTTTGTTTCTATCCCTTATTTTATCTCTCTTTCTTTCTCTTTATATATATATATATATATATATGTATATATAAAGTTATTTCTTCTCGCTTGAGCAATTTCGAGCAAGATTGCATTTTCAGCAATTTCGAGCAAGATTGCATTTTCTCTTTGTAGTTTTTTGTCTTTTTTTTCTCCTTTTCCTTTATATATTCCATTGTTTTTTTAATGTATAACTGCGCTTTGTTTCTGCTCCTTTTTCTTATTGTTTTCGTTTGGTTGTTTGTTTGTTTGTGCCGTATTTGTGTCTATTTTCTCTATATTTTTTTTCTATTATTCCTCTGCGGCTTCTTGAAATGCCCCTTTCGCCATCAATATGGACCATTGTGTTTTCTTTCTTTTTTCTTTATTTTTCCTTTCACTGTTTTTTTCTCAATGTTTATGCGGTTGTCTGTGCATTCGTCCTTGTCCTTTGATGCTTATTAATATATAAATAACAGTCTCACTGAGCTGATTGGGATATTAGTAAAAAATGTGTCTATTATTATTATTATTATTATTATTATTATTATTATTATTATTATTATTATTAATTATTAATTATTGCAGGTTTTATGAACTGTGATCTTCTCGAGTTTACCCCTTTACTGTTCTTTCTCACTCACTCTCTCTCTCTCTCTTTCTCTCTTTATTTTTCTTTTTCTTTTTTTTGTGAAGCATCTCTTTAAGAGTTTCTAGGGATGTGTGATTTATTCACAATCGTCTCCAGTAGCGAAAAGTCCCTTCGCCTGGCCCGCCGTTACGCCCTGGAGTCCAACTACGATGTTGCCGTCGCCTTCTACACAGGCATTGACAAAGATCTCACCAACTGCATGCAGTGCCGTAGTGACGGCAGCCAGTCTGGCAAGAACGGCAGCGGGGATCTCAGCGACGTGGCCCTCTTGCGCGAGAAGGTCGCGGAGGAGTGTGTGCTCGTGCGGGCCATTCAGGCGGAACTGAAGGCCCTAATAAATCCCAGCAGCGCCGTCCAACTCGACCGCCCCCCGCAGGAGTCAAACGCCGAAACGACAACAGCGCCCAGTCGCGCCGCCACCACCCGCCCGCTGCGGCGCACAACCGTCACGAACACAAACGGCGCGAATCCCGTCGCGGCCGCCCGCCCGGCGGTGATGTCCGTCCCGCCGCCGATGAGCACCGCCGCCCGCAACGAGGCGCTTTACGGCGATCCCGATCGATTTGGGCCGCCGCGACTAAAAACGCCGCTGCGGAACTCATCGCCGCTCGCCCGTCGCCGGCCCGTTGGCGGTTCACTGCGCGCCGCATCGCCCCCTCGCAGCACCCGGCCAAAGGCGGCACTCCCACTGCAAACACAATCGCAACAAACACTACGGGCTGGGAGAACCCCAGCGGCGAGTAGTAGTGCTGCTGTGAGCAGTACGAACAATAATACAACGAGTAGACCTAGACGTCAAGGGGCACGGGCGACGCTTCCTCGATTTGTGGCCCGTCCGGGAGAAGAGGAATTGGTTTCTCTCATTGAGGCAGACATGCATGTGGGGCCACTCGCCGTATCCTGGGATGATGTGGCCGGTCTCTCAGCAGCAAAAGGGCTGCTGGAGGAGGCGGTGGTGTATCCTGTGTTGATGCCAGATTACTACACTGGCATTCGGCGGCCGTGGAAGGGTGTTCTCCTTTACGGCCCACCGGGAACAGGAAAGACAATGCTCGCAAAGGCCGTAGCGTCAGAGTGCAATACCACATTCTTTAATATCTCTCCAGCCACACTTACAAGTAAATGGAGAGGAGATAGTGAGAAACTTATTCGGGTATTGTTTGAAATGGCCCGTTACTACGCTCCTAGTACGATATTTATTGATGAAATAGATTCTCTCTGTGGTCAGCGAGGTGATGGGGGTGAACATGAGGCTTCACGACGTGCAAAAGGAACACTTTTGGCCCAAATGGATGGAGTTGGTGTAGATCCTGGTAAAATTGTGATGGTGCTTGGAGCAACCAATCACCCATGGTCTATTGATGAAGCTATGCGTCGTCGTTTAGAGAAACGTATTTATATCCCTCTTCCAGACTTTAATGATCGTCTAGAACTCTTTCGCATCAATACCAAAACACTAAAATTATCTCCTGATGTGGATTTTACAAAATTATCTAAAATCCTTGAAGGACGTTATTACAGTTGTGCGGATATAACGAATCTGGTCCGTGATGCTGCCATGATGACGATGCGGCGATTTATGGAAGAAACCGATAAAACAGAACTCAAAAGACGTGCAGCGGAGATTGGGAAATTAGTGGCGGAACAGCCAACCACCATGAAAGACTTTCTTGATGCAGTGAAGAATGTACCTAGTAGTATTAACGTAGATCAGATTACAAGGTTTGAAAAGTGGAAGAAAGAATTCGAAACGAATTTATAGAAGAAGAAAAGAAAAAAAAAAGAAATATATCTTCACGAATAGAGTAAGAGTGAGAGTTAAGAGAAACTCGTTTCCATTGTAAAGAAAGAAAGGAAAAAAAAAAAAAGAAGAAATACGATCTCGTAAACGAAAAGAAAAAAAAAAATTGATGGCGAACCAAAGAGAAGAAAATCAAACTATGTACTGCATCAAGAGAAGACATAAAGGTGTTATCCTTTTTTTTTTTTTTTTTTTTTTTTACCATAAAATGTTTCCTCTTATAGATAAAATGTCTAAATATATTATTTTCTTTATTTTTTTCTTTCTATTTTCTGTCTTATAAATTCAACTTTGATTAATCTAGGATAGATTTATTCTCTCTGAGATTGAGAGAAAAGAGGAGACGAAAACAGAGAGAAAGAAAGAGAGAAATACTACAAGTTTAAAATAAAACACACAAAAGAGAAAACTGCTGGAAAGCGGATTCTCTGTGCATCTCTTTGCTCAGATCCCATTTCCGTCACCCAAAGTCTATTCACAGAGAAGAACGACATACAGACACAGAAAACAAAAACAACAACAACAAAAAAAAAAAGAAATACCCAACCCTTATTACACAGAACACAGCACCACCAACCACCACCATTACTAGTTACTAGTATCTATTACTTATTACTATTATTATAATTACTATTGTTGTTGTTACGATGTCTAACTCTCGCGGAGTGGGCCGGTCGGAGTCTGATGGAAAAGAAAACCACAGACGGCGGCAGCGCAGCGAGTCTGCCTCTTCCACCGGTTGGCAAATCACATCCAACAGCCGCTGTATTGTCTGCGGCCGACTGGGCGACACGTGCGACTGCCGCACAACGCGAATGGATCCAATGCTGAAGCGGCAGAAACTCGACAATTTTCTTCTCAACACGCCGTATGTGCGGTGTAAACAGATGAAGGCGCTGGATGATGTCACTCGTGAAGAGTCCAGGCAGCGTCGACGATGGATCGAACGTTGGGGAGAAGAGTTTGAAGTAATTGCACAGATCGCCTTAACTAGACGGCGAATGGTTTTTCTCAAACATGAAGAGTTAACAGAGCGAGAGGTGATAACGGCAACAGAGCGGAAGGAATGGGCAGAGACATTGGCTCTTGCGGATCGATATATTGTACTACTTGCTCTCGCTAGACATGAGCGAGAGGAACGGTTAAGTTTATATATGTCTGCAGAGCGAGAAGCACAGAAAGTAATGATTTGGCATTCTTTTGTATTTCAATTACTTAGTTTACAAAGCCGTGAGACGGCTTTACGTAATGCTCTTATTAATCACGAAGCTGCAGCAATAGCTTCTTTAAAAAGTTTAGATGTAGAACTTCTTAATGTAATGGACAGGAATGAAAAAGAACGTTGTAGTGTTTGTAAAGAATATTGGGAACAACGTGAAGAAATTGTCTTGTTATGGCAGAGAGAAGTAGAAAGTTTACAAAAAATGATCCTAGATGATAAAGAACGTGTGGAATGGATAATGCAGGAAAGGTATCAAATGTTTGAACTTTGTGTAAAAGAGAAAACAGAATTAGTATCAAAGGAGATGGAAATTAGAGGATTTTTCTCTAGTAGGGAAATGGAGGAACGTAATCTTGTACAAGAGAAGATACGGTGTTGTGAAGAGCAGAGAGATGCTATGGCACAACAGGAAAGTTCAGCACGAATAATGATTATTCAAAATGTAGATTTTACCTTTAATGAATTGTTATTAAAGTTTAAACATGAAGAGGAAGAAATTCGAAAATTAAATGAATTTCAGTATCAGCAGAGTGAAAATGAACTTCGTCAAGCTATCCATTATCTACAGATGATTGTAGAAGAAGAAAAAACTATATTTGCCGCACTGATAGCTCAAGAACATCATGAAAAGGATCAACGATATCAATGGATGTTAGAAAAAGAGAGACAACGTACTGAATTTGAACACAACACCCTTTATCAAATCCAACAATTATACACAGAAGAAGAAGAAGCCCGTCATGTATTGAAAAGTAAAATGCAAGAGGATGAAATTGGAGTGGCTGCTTGGATTCAACACAAGTTAAGAAAACTTCGAGAATTGGAAGAGGCTGTATTAAACCAAAAAGGAGAAATACGAATGAAAGAACATGAAGAACGGTTTGCACTTGTCTCTCATAAGGCAGAACACGAAGATGCCGTGCGTCGATGGATTGATCAGAAAGAAATTGTTCGTCAGTCTATCATTACTGAAGAAACATCATCTCGTGCGAATGGAATAGAAATGGAACACGCAGCAAGAGAAGAAATTGCTTGGCATTTTGATTCTGGATTAGAAAAGTGTCATTCATTTCTTCAAGAACGAAAAGAAGCGCAAGTAAAGTTTCAACAAAAGGCTTTAGCGGTATTAGGAGAAATCATGCAGCAAGAAGTAAAGGCACTCGCACTCTTACAAGATGCCGCCCAAATGGATATGGAAAACGCGTTAGAAGAAGAAAAACAAAGAGTACGACTGGAATTTCTCAATATGGAAACGGAACAGAGAAGTTGTATGCTTCAACAGGAAATACGCTGCCGTGAAAATATTTCTACTCAAATGCAATTACAACGAAACTTTTTCGCCAAAGAGGCACAAGAACTTTTAAAAGCACGATTATGTGAAATAATGGCAGTAGAAGAAAGTCAACGGCATGTACTTCTTCATTTAGAAGAAGAGTCTGCAGAACATCTTTGGATACTGAGTAGACGATCTTGGGAAGATGCCCAGAGAGTGGAAAGAGAACGTATACGTGAGGAACTTCGTCAACGTGAGATTGCCCTCATGGAAGACGAACGGCTTTACTGCGAAGATGAAGTTCTTATCTTTGATAAAATAAAGACATCAAGAAGAGGAGAAGAATATCAAAGAGAAGAAAGAGATGAAGATGATGAAGATAATAATGATGATATTATGAATTATTCTTGTATGGATGAAACATGGAAACTGCAACGACAATATGTTTTGAATGAATTGGGTTTAGAAGAAAAAGATGGGAAAGAATTAACCCCATCTTCTGTAGAGTTTCTGGTGAAAGTGATGAATCTTATCTCAGAGAAAAAAGCACTTGTGATGGCAGAATTACATCAAGCCGAAAAGGAAGCAGAAGAGGTGGAACGAAAAGTAGAAAAACAGAAGATTTTACTCTCCAATGCAAAAGAAAGATGTGAAGAGTTAAAAGAAAAATTAAATCGTGATACGGCTGATCATGAAAGGCGTACAGCAATGTACCGTGATGCCCGACAGAAGGAAGAGTCTCAGTTGGAACGTGAACGTGAGAGACTTCAGACCAAAACTGAAGAACTCTCTAAAATGCAGGAAAAGGTCTCTGGTATGCGAGAGGCTATTCACAATCAGTACCAACGTCGCTAAAAGAGAAAATAGTGTGTGTAAAGGAGAATAAGATGGATTAAAAAGAAAGAAGAAAAAAAAAGAAAAAAAGAGGAAGAAGGTTCTTGAATAGACCAGAGGTAAGGAAACGAAACAGATAAGCCTGTACTCAAAGAGAAGGTCTTCATATATATACATATATATATGAACCTTTTTTTTCCTCTTTTCTTTTGACGAATTACGGAGTAATTATTACAAATTGTATTTATATATATATATATNGATGAGGTATTTTTGGATGTTGTGTTGGTGACATAACTTTCTGTAGTGAGTTTGGTTGTCTTCTGCATCAGTGGCTGAGACATTGTGAAAAGTGTATGTCGGAACCGAAAGTCTTTACTTTTCTCCTTTTTCTTTTCTTGTTGTTGTTGAGCTGTTCCAGTAGAGTTTTCTTTTCTTTTCTTTTCTTCGCAGTTGCTGTGCAAAGATTTTGTGGCTCTTAGGTGTATATATATTTATTTAAATATTTTGTGTGTAGTACTTAAGGACGATGCGTTGCCACTCTCTACGTGCGTTTTTTGTTTTTGCAGGCTTGTTCTCCATGTTCGCGATTGGCGCGCTAGCATTGACCAGGCGGGAGGCATGTTTGGCACGAATGTATCCGCAGAGTGCAGGCTTTTACGGTGCCCTGGGTGCGGCAGTTGCTCTTGTCTTTGCGAATCTCGGATCCGCCTACGGGGCGGCGAAGGCGGGTGTTGGGGTGGCGCAGTTGGGACTGTCGGCGCCGGAGAAGATCATGCGTGGGATTGTTCCTGTTGTGATGGCGGGCATTCTCGGCATCTACGGACTCATTGTTGCTGTCATCATCAACAACAACATTCGAACGGAGCCGTACACGTACTCGACCTTCTCCGGTACGCTGCACCTCGGCGCAGGAATGGCGGCCGGGCTGGCGGCATTAGCAGCAGGGCTTTCCATCGGCGTCGTGGGCGACACCGCGGTGAGGGCGTATGGCAAGCAAGATCAGATATTTGTGGCAATGGTGCTTATGCTCATTTTCTCTGAAGCGCTCGGTCTGTATGGGCTTATCATTGCACTGCTGATGAACAACCAAGCCAATCGATACGGTGCCCTCTGCGGGGCAGAGTGAGGTACAGAGCGATGGTATCGTGGTTAGTACAGCGGGTGGTAGGAGGAAGCCAAGAGGCGCATGGTCCGGTACAGCAGTGCCAGGTATCTGTAGAAGGTGTGATGTTTGTGTCATGTGCTGGTGATCTGTAGGTATTTGAGACTCTTGATGGGATTTGGTATTTCAAATACAAGTGTGGTGACTTACCGTCTCTCTTTTTTTTCATCTGATCTACTTCTTTTCTCTGGTAAAAGGTTCGTCCTAAATATTCGCTTCTGCTCAGAGGGCAGCATTAGCAGCGAAGGGACTCACACTCGCTCAATGGCAACCACGTGTGGGTTTAAGGGGTGCTCGAACCAGACGTACCTCGCCCTCCCGGTTTGCAGCCACTGCGGCAAACGCATGTGCACCTCTCACCTCCTTCCGGAGGTTCATGGTTGCGGTGACGCCGAAAGGAATGTGTCACAGCGTCAGGCAACTGCCGATGCGGCGGATATGCGGCGCCGGCGAAAGCATATTGGTCTGGATGACGCAAAGGCGCGATTGGATCGTCGCCGGGAAGAGCTTGCTGCTCAGCGGCAAAAAAAGCCACTGAAGAACAAGCAGTGACAGAGACTGGCCGCGGCAGTGGGTTTGGAGTAGCAGTTACCTTAACAGTACGTGCTGCCTTTTTTTTTTGGTGTTAGTGTTTTTCTACGAACATTACCGTTTAATGGAAGGGGTAGCTTTGCCCTGTGCATCACGTGTGTTTTACTTTTCTGATAAATGCTTTTTCTCTGTAAAGGATTATCTGCTGTGCACTTTCTTCTTTTTCGTTTTCTTTTGTAACTGTAGAGTCTAGCGTTATGGCTTCTGCTTCCGCCCCACATAATGCCGCCGCTGTAACCGTTGATGATGACGATGCACGCGAAGCTTTCATCAACTACGGCGGTGCCTACTGGATGAATCCCGTTCCGCGCGGCGTGTCCCGCTTCCGCACCACTTGCACTACGATGAAGGCATCGGACGCCGTAGACCCATTCGGTAACCCCAAACAGCCTGATATGCCCGACTTGTTCGGCAAGTCGCGCTACACCGCCACGGGCACCAGACTGAGGGCAGCCCAGGATGACACAGTTGATGCACATGTGGCATCGGCCGGCGTTGAAGGAGATGCAAAGAGCTCTGGGGAAGGAGGGCCGAATGGAGAGCCGGACTCTTCCGTCTTGCTCGGCGGCACTGCAGCTATTTCTGCTGCCCCTAACGGAGACAAGGAGCCCTACTCGACGGAGGATATGGTCCGTGAAAAACTCCCGCTTGACACTGCCAACCCAGAGCGCCGTCTCCTCCATCCAGGCAACAACACGGAGCGCATCCCACCCACAGGTGGGTCTGAGTACAACGGTACCGTTAATCTCACGTGGACGGCACCAAAGGCGGTCGACAACACTTACCTGCGTCTTGCCCCGCTGTACGAGAGCACGACACACTACCAGCTTCGCACCGGACCCTTCTACACAGAGGATGAGGCACCGCCACACGAAATGACACTTCCACTTAAGAGGTCCCTTAGCAAACGGGAGTGGTAGCTGGAGTCATGTTGCTGTGTGGGGTGACCACCGCTTCACCGCTGCAAGGAGGGTAATAATCGCTGACGACTGGGGCGAAAGGGGACGTGGTGCTGAGATTCCTATGTATCATGTAAATGTACTGTAGCATTTCTCTTCATACTGTATGATGTTGATGTTGATGTTGTGCATAGGGTATGTATTGCTGCTTCTCCTTCAATTCACTTTTCGGTGCAAGTGGCGCACACATTTCACTGTTAATTTCCTGTATTTGCTTTTTTCTTCACTCTAGTTGTACGTAGTAAGTTGTAAGGCATATACGAACACATTCATTTCCCGTCGATAAAGTGGATGACACGATTTCCTCTGGTAGTGGTCCTGGGGATCGTGGTGGTGCTGGCAGCGACGGTTTACGCCGCTCCTGATGGCACCGGTAAGGTGGAGGCCCCATGCGTCGGTATCGACCTTGGCACAACGTACTCTGTTGTTGGGGTGTGGCAGAAAGGTGACGTACACATCATCCCGAACGAGATGGGCAACCGCATCACACCGTCTGTAGTGGCCTTTACAGAGACGGAGCGACTGATCGGCGATGGCGCGAAAAACCAACTTCCGCAGAACCCGCACAACACAATCTACGCGATCAAGCGTCTCATTGGACGGAAGTACAGCGACGCCACGGTGCAGAAGGACAAGAAGTTGCTGTCGTACGAGGTTGTGGCGGACAGGGACGGCAAACCGAAGGTGCAGGTGGAGGTTGGCGGCAAGAAGAAGCAGTTCACACCTGAGGAGGTGAGTGCGATGGTGCTGCAGAAGATGAAGGAAATCGCAGAGACATACCTCGGTGAGAAAGTAAAGAACGCCGTTGTTACTGTGCCCGCGTACTTCAATGATGCGCAGCGCCAGTCGACGAAGGATGCCGGGACGATTGCGGGACTTAATGTCGTGCGCATTATCAATGAGCCTACGGCTGCGGCCATTGCATACGGACTGAACAAAGCAGGCGAGAAAAACATCCTTGTGTTTGACCTTGGCGGTGGCACCTTTGATGTGTCCCTGCTTACGATCGACGAGGGCTTCTTCGAGGTTGTGGCAACGAACGGTGACACACACCTTGGTGGTGAGGACTTCGACAACAACATGATGCGGTACTTTGTGGACATGCTGAAGAAGAAGAAGAATGTTGACGTGAGCAAGGACCAGAAGGCATTGGCCCGTCTGCGCAAGGCTTGCGAGGCGGCAAAGCGACAGTTGTCGTCACACCCTGAGGCGCGCGTGGAGGTGGACAGTCTTACAGAGGGTTTTGACTTCAGTGAGAAGATAACGCGCGCGAAGTTCGAGGAGCTGAACATGGAGCTGTTCAAGGGGACGCTGGTGCCGGTGCAGCGCGTGCTGGAGGACGCCAAGCTGAAGAAGAGTGACATTGACGAAATTGTGCTTGTTGGTGGCTCGACCCGCGTGCCGAAGGTGCAGCAGCTGATTCGAGACTTCTTTGGTGGCAAAGAGCCGAACCGTGGTATTAACCCCGACGAGGCGGTTGCGTACGGTGCGGCGGTGCAGGCGGCAGTGCTGACCGGCGAGAGCGAAGTCGGTGGGCGTGTGGTGCTTGTGGACGTGATCCCGCTCTCGCTTGGCATTGAGACAGTGGGTGGTGTCATGACGAAGCTGATCGAACGCAACACGCAGATTCCCACCAAGAAGAGCCAGGTGTTCTCGACGTACCAGGACAACCAGCCTGGTGTGCTGATTCAAGTCTTCGAGGGTGAGCGGCAGATGACAAAGGACAACCGTCTCCTCGGAAAGTTTGAGCTCTCTGGTATTCCTCCGGCGGCACGCGGTGTGCCGCAGATTGAGGTTACGTTCGACGTAGACGAGAACAGCATCCTGCAGGTGAGTGCGGTGGACAAGTCATCGGGGAAGAAGGAGGAGATCACCATCACGAACGACAAGGGTCGCCTGAGCGAGGAGGAGATCGAGCGCATGGTGCGCGAAGCTGCGGAGTTCGAGGAGGAGGACCGCAAGGTGCGGGAGCGCGTTGACGCGCGCAATTCGCTGGAGGGCATCGCATATTCGCTGCGCACCCAAGTGAACGACAAGGACAAGCTCGGTGGCAAGCTGAGCGCGGATGACAAGAGCGCCGTGGAGGCCGCTGTGAAGGAGGCGATCCAATTCCTCGACGAGAACCCCAACGCTGAGAAGGAGGAATACGACGAGGCACGCGAGAAGCTGCAGAGTGTGACGAACCCGATCATCCAGAAGGCCTACCAGGCTGGGGGAGGTGCGGCTGACGAAGAGAAGCNGCAATCACGATGGCCTTGTTTGAGGATTTGGGTTACTATAAAGCAGATTTCAGCAAGGCAGAGACAATGAGGTGGGGCAAAGATGCTGGATGCGATTTCTTAAGAAAACCGTGTTTTGTTGATGGGGTCTCTCCATATCCCGACATGTTCTGCAACCAACTCAAGGGCAATAAAAGTTTACTCTGTACGTTTGACCGTCTGTCCTTGGGATTCTGCACCCTGAGTAAATACGTGCAACACCTTCCACAACACTTTCAGTACTTTAAGGATCCGACTCTTGGTGGTGTTGGGCCTTTGGCAGACTTCTGCCCTTTTGTTCATGAATATTCTAATACTGGTTGTACCAATGGAAACGCGAGTGCCATGCCAGGAAGTCGCATTGGTCCAAACTCTCGTTGTCTGAAAGGCAATTCTCTTCGTATGGGTACTCACTCTCTTGGTGATGTGTGCGTCAATACGCAGTGTGATAAAGGCATCCTGAGAGTGCAACTCCTCGATGATGACACTTGGTACACGTGCAAAGAAGGAGAATACATAACGCCGCGCAAAGTATTCACGAGCGGCACTATTCTCTGTCCAAAATACACCGATGTTTGTTCCTCATCCCACTTGGACAGCAATTCTTTTCCGATACCAACCAACGATAAATCAGTGTCACAATATGGTGATGCCTTGGGTAGAAGGAACGCGGGAAGTCTCCTCGGTGATGAAAGCAGATGTGCTGTCGCCTTCCTTCCCTTCGTTTTTCTCGCCTTTGTCGTTGCTGTGCTTGTTCTTTTCTAAAAGAACTCTGAGGTTATGGGGCGAAGGAGAAGTTATTAAAGAAAAAAAAAATCATTAAGTTGCTTCCTCTTGAGGACATCATCACTGTATTAAGAAAAAAAAAAGTTATATGCATATTTATTCCCTCTCACTCCGTCTTTTTTTAGTTTGGGCTCTGTAGAAAATGCATCATCTCAAGAATATAAGTTTAACTTTTATTAATACTATATACCACAGGAATCATTTCTCTCTCCCTTTTCGGTGGATTAAGGGACCTAAAAATCTATATACCAAGTAACTTTTGCTACAATGAAAGGCTACTCTATTTCCTTTTCTAAAGAGTGATTTTTCTTTTTTCTTGCTCTCTAATATACTTTAGTTTTAATTTTCTAACTGCGTCTTTTATAATATTTCTCCCTGCGAATATGACAGGAGACTGATGCTGCTTTTTTTTTGTTTGCTGCAATTGCTGTGATAATGTGTTCTATGTCTCATCTGTAATTTTCTATTTTGCTGGTTTTCTTGAGAATCCATGACTCTTACTGTGTGAGGGTATTAGGAGGAAATATGAAGTACTTTCTTTTAATATCATTGTAAGTGTACTAGGCTGTGCAAAGACGCGTCGTGCAATCGTCCTTCGTTACTTTATCCGAAGGAGTCTTGGTCTCCCTCTGTTCTGTATTCGTGAAGAACATCCTTGTGTTTGTCCTTGGCGGTGGGACCTTTGATGTGTCCCTGCTTACGATCGACGAGGGCTTCTTCGAGGTTGTGGCAACGAACGGTGACACACACCTTGGTGGTGAGGACTTCGACAACAACATGATGCGGTACTTTGTGGACATGCTGAAGAAGAAGAAGAATGTTGACGTGAGCAAGGACCAGAAGGCATTGGCCCGTCTGCGCAAGGCTTGCGAGGCGGCAAAGCGACAGTTGTCGTCACACCCTGAGGCGCGCGTGGAGGTGGACAGTCTTACAGAGGGTTTTGACTTCAGTGAGAAGATAACGCGCGCGAAGTTCGAGGAGCTGAACATGGAGCTGTTCAAGGGGACGCTGGTGCCGGTGCAGCGCGTGCTGGAGGACGCCAAGCTGAAGAAGAGTGACATTGACGAAATTGTGCTTGTTGGTGGCTCGACCCGCGTACCGAAGGTGCAGCAGCTGATTCGAGACTTCTTTGGTGGCAAAGAGCCGAACCGTGGTATTAACCCCGACGAGGCGGTTGCGTACGGTGCGGCGGTGCAGGCGGCAGTGCTGACCGGCGAGAGCGAAGTCGGTGGGCGTGTGGTGCTTGTGGACGTGATCCCGCTCTCGCTTGGCATTGAGACAGTGGGTGGTGTCATGACGAAGCTGATCGAACGCAACACGCAGATTCCCACCAAGAAGAGCCAGGTGTTCTCGACGTACCAGGACAACCAGCCTGGTGTGCTGATTCAAGTCTTCGAGGGTGAGCGGCAGATGACAAAGGACAACCGTCTCCTCGGAAAGTTTGAGCTCTCTGGTATTCCTCCGGCGGCACGCGGTGTGCCGCAGATTGAGGTTACGTTCGACGTGGACGAGAACAGCATCCTGCAGGTGAGTGCGGTGGACAAGTCATCGGGGAAGAAGGAGGAGATCACCATCACGAACGACAAAGGTCGCCTGAGCGAGGAGGAGATCGAGCGCATGGTGCGCGAAGCTGCGGAGTTCGAGGAGGAGGACCGCAAGGTGCGGGAGCGCGTTGACGCGCGCAATTCGCTGGAGGGCATCGCATATTCGCTGCGCACCCAAGTGAACGACAAGGACAAGCTCGGTGGCAAGCTGAGCGCGGATGACAAGAGCGCCGTGGAGGCCGCTGTGAAGGAGGCGATCCAATTCCTCGACGAGAACCCCAACGCTGAGAAGGAGGAATACGACGAGGCACGCGAGAAGCTGCAGAGTGTGACGAACCCGATCATCCAGAAGGCCTACCAGGCTGGGGGAGGTGCGGCTGACGAAGAGAAGCTAGACGTCTTTAATTCTTGAATGTGTGTATTTCGAACGATGATATTGCTAATATTTTTATTGTGAATATATGGTGTTTTTTTTTTTTTTTCCTTTTTTTGTTCTTGGATGTTACATAAGTGTTTTTGTACAGCTGTAGAAGGTTAAGTTGATGTCATTTTCATCATCTGAGAAACCGTCTAGCAGATTTCGTGTCTTGCTTAGACGTGAACCTGAAAAAGAGACTGATGCCAAGAGTACACGTCTGGAAGGTGTCTGCGATAATATCTCACATGGTATTAGAGAGAACTGTATGGTTATGTCAAGGACAGGAGAGTTTTCAGTATCAGATGATACTGAAAGAAATATTGTTGAGAAACCACAAAGGTATGGAGGCGCTATTGTCCGTGTGAGTGAATTGCGAAAAGCCGGTGGTTTACTACCTTTTTCTGCGACAGGTAGTGAGGGACCTTCTGTTGGTGATAATAGTAAGGAAAGAAATTTTACGGCAAGTTCGTATTTGCGTTTTGGTGGGTCAATCACTAACTGTAATAACAAAGAACTGGACTCTCGTGCACTTTGTACATTTGCAGTTGCTGGTACTGGAGAGAAGGTCTTAGATGGACGAAAAGCGACAAGGCGGAATTCTCCAACGCGCAGGAAAGGGTCAGGTAAGGTTAAAAATAAAAATAACACAAGAAACAATAACAGTATTAGTTATGCCAAATCAAGAGGAACAAAAGTACGACGTGGAGGGAAGAAAAGTAATATTCTGGAATTACAAAGTAATGGAGAGCCTTATGGTTATCGCTGGTCTACTAAAAATGGCCGCCGTCAGTTGCATTACGGAAGTCGTACATACACAGGTAAAACCGCACATCAGATATGGGATAAAATAAAGGTAGCCCTCAAGTCGAAAGAAGCATCGTCACTCCCTTCACAATCTTCCTCTCATGCTATTGTTATTCCTACCGCTCCGCAACTTTCAAGTTTAATAGAACCTGGTAAAAAGATTAAAGATGTGAAACGTTCCCGTGTGGAAACTACAAGAGTAGCAAATACTGCTACAAAACGCTCTTGTATAGACTCACATAAAACTAGTCAAACGACTCTTTTAACTGGAACAACTAGTTTACTCTCGTCTACGGTACGACCAAAGTTACTCCTAGATGATGATGAACCATTATACAAAAGAGTTTGTGAGGGAGATGTGGTTCTTGTATCTGATAGTGATAATAGTGAGATATGCAGCTCGACGTCATCTACACTATCGAGTTGGCCCTCTCTTCGAGCAGGTAGTAGTGAACTTACAATAAATGATGGGGATTTGAGTAGTCAGGGTTCATTAAGTGAAACTGAAGAAAACGTTTACAAAGGATGTCATGATAATAAAAGGAACAGAATAGTTGAATTAGATAATCAAAAGGGTAATTGTTCTCCCTCAAAGGAATCATCTACTGTTTTTGAGCATGATGGATGGCTATATCCGACTGAATTGCTGCCACTTTTATGCAAAGAAAATTCTACAGGTAGTTCTCTACCTCTTGGGAATGCCAAATTAGGTCAACAGAATATTGAGAAGGAAAATAATAGAAATAATGTGCAAGGAATCACCTTTCTTTGTAATAAAGGTACTGATACTGTATCTTCACTTCAGCCTTCTTCGGTTGAAGTGTTACCATCAGTTAAAAATCCTGCATACTCGCAGAGATATGAGGAGATGAATGCCCTGTTGGACTTACCTATTGATGATATAGGGGATTTTTTTGTTACGGGAGAAGAGATTGGAGGAATGCGCTTTGCATCTTAGTTATCTTTCACATTTTTTTTTTTTTTTTCCTGCCCCGCTTTACCTCTGCGTCTATAGAAGGAGAAAATGGATGACTTTATTTCCTGATTAGTTGNTATATATATATGAACCTTTTTTTTCCTCTTTTCTTTTGACGAATTACGGAGTAATTATTACAAATTGTATTTATATATATATATATCTTTTTGTGTGTATTTCACCATGTTATTGTTTTTTGTTTGTAAATAGATTTTAGATCAACCTTACATGAGAGGGAAAATAAGAGTGTTTTCTCTCTCTCTCTCTCTCTTTGTTTTTTTTTTTTTGTTTGTGTCCGTTATGGGCTGTTTAGATGCCTCCGCCCCCCATTCCTTTCAACTTTTCCTCATCTGAAAGAAAAAGGGAGATTATTATTATTATTATTATTATTATTATTATTATTATTATTATTATTATTATTCTTAATTATGAATTATTATTTTTATTCTTTAGATACTTTTTTTTCATCATAACCTCTTGATAAGAACTCTTAATAAATCTATTTCCTACGGTGTCCTCACCATCTCTACTTTTTTCTTTCTTATTATTATTATTTATTTATTTATTTATTTAATTAATTCAATAAAAGAATGTAGCACAATAAAGATAAATGGAAACAGAAATAACGATAGCGCAACTGCGCCACTGTGGTGTACAAGTTCCTATACAAACTTCTCTCCGAGAGCTTACTGCAGTTTCACTGTATGAACTGTTGATAACCGCATTGAAACGTCTTCACTTTATTCATGAAGAAAACACAAACGAGAAGTTTCCAATATCACTGATGGAATCAGATACCGCCACTCGTTTACATTATTTGAGTATATTAACGACGAAACTGCAGGAAGTCGGATGTGATTTTATTCAAGATGAACATTTAATGTATCCTGCAGAAACTACGACAAGGCGACTTCTTCTCTGGCTTGTGAGGAAGTTTCATACACTAGCTGCCACTCAAAATAATAATAACGATAAGAAATATAAAAACTCACCAATGGGAGAAGCACTCTTATCATTTCAATCATTAGTGCAAAACTACAATCTAAATGGTGAAAAGAGAAATAGAGAAGAGGCATATATTCATCCAAACAGGATGGTTTCCACAGTATGGAAACCTTTCTCTACTGTTAGTGTTTGTAGACCTGAAGAAATAGATTCAAATATTTCACGTTGGAAGCAAATTGAAAAAGAATATGAATCTATGTGTACATTTACTTCTCCCAAAGAACAAAAAGAAATAAAAAATTCTTTTTGGAAACTACAATTTAGTGAAGTGTTTCTTCATTCTTTTCAGGAATCTTGTGCCGCAGATCGCACCTATGACGATAATTTTATCCATCATAATTTAAAAAATTCACTCATAACTAAAAACAAAAAAATAAATAATGACAAATCATTACTTAATATACCTTTAAATTCTAAGAGTCCAAAAGAAAGTATTTTACCAATCAATTTGAATGATTTACAATCATTTACTTTTACAAATGATGTCTTCTTCTATAATCCATCAGAAGATGGTGTTAGAGTAGAAGGTGTCTCAGTATCAGATATAAGTTCAATATATGATCATAAGGATCAAACTGTCAATGCTTTACAGACAATACTTATCGGAGATGCAGAAAAACACAAGAATGATGTTGATGATGTTAATGATTATGACAAGACATCACTTACAGAGAATGAGAAGAGTATTCTCAGTAATTACAATAAGGCTAAAAAAGAGCTTTGGATTCTCAGAAATACCTTTTCAGAATTAAAAGCAAAAAAAATACGTTTAGATGATGATCTACAGAATCTCTCTCACAATCTGGAGGAACAGGAAAATGTGTGGAATCAAAGTAAAAAAGAGGCACAACGTTTAGAAGAGATTCTTACCTTAATGGGTGATGAAAAGGAGAGTGAGAATCAAATTCGAAAGGAAATAGATGAGTTGATAGAGTTAGCAGAAAGTTTTAGGAGTGAAGTAATGGTAAAACTCCAAAAAGTAACGAATAAACGTTCAGAATTGCTAGAGGAATTACATGCTGTTAGTAACTATAAAGAGGAAGAGTTAGCATCTATGCGTCATGCTGTAAAAGAGGTAAAGAAACGCATCCGTGCAAAACGACAGGATATACAAAAATGGAAAGAAGATATTTCACCACATGTTGACGGCATTGACAGACTTCAGTTTCTTCGATACATTGGTGAAATGACATCCAGTGCGTGTGGACTCCAAACACAACTGACAACAGTGGTCCGGGATACTTTGGCGTGTGTGAGAGAAATGGAGGCGTTAGAACGGCATCTCCGACTGGACTTTGCCCGGCGAGAGGCGGCGGTGTACACATTGGCCCTCCAATCCGAGTCTGGAGGTGTCTGGAGGGAACTTCACAGAAGTATGGTGGGGGTGCGGGAGGGCTATCGAGCACTAATGAACGCCATTGTACATCGTGGGGAACTTCTCGTGGAACTCCATCGCATGGAGGATCGGGTGGAGAATCTCAAGGCGGAGGTAAACGCTTGCAATTCTGTGAAAGTGGAAGATGATGTAAAGGAACTGCGGGAAAGGAATAACGCGATTCATGAATACCTTCAACAAAACAAAAGAAAAAAAAGAGTTTCTACACAGGTAATGATGTAACCATGAGAAGTTGAAGTATGGCACCCCCTGTTTCCACTCTATTGAACTAAACCCTGGAATGAAAGAATGCATACATTGACACTACATACCCTTCATCTTCTTCTTGTTTGTTGTTTTTGTTGGGTGATGCGTTGGTGTTTCATTGATTAATCCAAAAAAAAAAAAATCATCAGGTTAACTGTGTTTGCGGCGACTGTCGCTGTGTGAAGACCAAAGGCAGCAGCACATGACTATGTGAACGTCCTATGTGAGATTCCCTGTAGGTGAACCAACTCTGTTTTTTTTTTTTTTTTTTTTTGCACGCTCAGAAGGAGGCGAGTACAACTCATTAGATAGACGAAAAAGAGAAAAAAAAAAAATAGGGATCTGTATTATATTTGTATTTGAGTATGTCCATATTCTATTCTTATTCCCCTTCGTGCAATTTGGAGTATCAATTGTATGACGTCTTGTATTTGCTATATCAGACCACACATACTCCAAAATTATTAATGCATTTTCTCCCTTTATGTGTGATGGGATTTGTAGGCGAAATACAAATATCATTCTTCTGTTATGACAGAAAAACAGCTAGTACACCATGTGCAAAATGACTGCAATACTTGGAAAAAGATCACCCCTACAAGGATATTGTGAGAAGTTGCTTTCATTCATTAAAAGGATAAAAGGGCTCCGTTGAGGGATTCCTTTATGCTAGTTAATTACTTTTTCTTCGCATAAACACGGCTTACAAATAAACACCTATATTTGTTTCCCACAGTTTTTTTTTGTTATTGTTGTTGTTGTCATTTACTCTGCCTAGCTAATACATATCCTACTAACTCTTCAAAATATATATAAGACTTCACTATACTTATCTTTTTTTGCGTTTACTTCTATAGATTGTTTTACGCAACTCTACTCCACACCGGCTACAAAAACCTCCCGGTCATGAATAAGACACCTCACTCCCTGCTGTTTCTGTGGCGCCGACCACTGCTCCTCCTACTGCTGTTGTTTCTGTGCTGCGCCAGTGTGTGTGTTGCGCAGAAGGACGGCGGCGACGCACCATCGACTGGTGTTGTGCGGGAGTTGCCCCGCAAGGGACAGAGTGGTATGCAGGCGTACACCGTCGCCACACAGGAGAATGAAAAATGGGAGCCAATCCGCATTAAGGCGTTCACGAGGGACTTGGAGGACAAATCGAAGTACTGTACGGAAGTTAACCAAAAGATCGTTTCTTTTTTCGGGAATGTGGTTAAATGTTTTGAAGCAGATGACCTCAACGATGAAAGGCACAGAGAATACATCAATGAGATTATTCCCGCTGCCATCAAACTGCATGAGGAACGACTGCGTGTACAACCCCATAAAGGCAAAATAATCGTGCCCGAACTTGAGGGAGACTACTGTGAGAATTTCACTGTACCCGAAGAGCACCGCACTGAAGGTGTTGACGCTGACTTTGTGTTCTACGTAGCTGCCGTACCGTGGCATTATACGTTTGGTCTCACATGTGCAACAGAAGAATCGTCAGGTCGCCCAATCGTTGGGGTCATGAATTTCATTCCCTCTTTATACGGTGGCCTGCGATTGAACGTTCGTCGTGCTGCGCACGAGATGGCACACGCACTGGGATTCAATGTTATTGATATGGGTGAGAAGAACATGTTGTCCCATGTCATAATTCGCGGCAATAATCGTACGGTGGTGAGTTCCGAGTTGACGAAAAAGAAGGCGCAGGAACACTACGATTGCCCTGATCTGGAGGGTGTGGAGCTGACACTAAGGGATGAGGCTCACTGGTTGCAACGTGTGGCGAAGGACGAATTGATGGCAGCGCCAAGAGAATCTGGTGCCGGCTACTATACAGCACTGACAATGTCAACATTTGAGGGTCTGGGGTACTACAGGGCAAACTGGGGAATGGAGGAGCCAATGAGCTGGGGCCACAAGGGCGGCTGTAACTTCCTCAAGGAAACTTGCACTGAAAACGAGAAGCACTATTCTGAACAATTCTGCAATGACACTACTGCTTTGCGATGCACGTCGGACCGCACTGCGTACGGTATGTGGTATCGGGGCCAACAAAGGGAATATCAAGGTCCTAATGATGTCTGTCATGTGATTGGGAGTTTTGTTAAGGGCAACGATAACGTAAAGACCTATACTTATTGTACTGGGGCTGAGACCAACGCCCTTCCTGGATCGCTGATGGGCCCTGACTCGTGGTGCCTGGATGGTGAGGGACTGCAGGTGCAAAATGCTGGGGAGAGTGTTGAGAGCCTGTCCGGTGTGTGTGCGCGGGTGTCGTGTGATGAACGCAGACGTACAGTGAGTGTACAGTACAAGGGTAGCGACACATTTAAGGAATGTCCCGAAGGCACCTCAATCGATGTCGAATCCTCTGCGTTCCAAAGCGGTGGTAAGATCAAGTGCCCCAAGTACGATGAGGTGTGTACCATCGCATTAAATGGCAGCAGTCTTGTTCCATTTGTTAACCCACATCAACCATCAGCAGTAGGTGCGACCTTAATAAATGGAAAAGATAATGCAAACACCAATGATCCGTCAAAATATCCAGGGGTTGTGAATCAAGCTCAAATTAACAATATGCAGAACAGCACAGGGATTTTAACTGAACTTGCTAAAGATAACGCTTTTTCTGCAGTTTACTCTTTTCCCATCATGATTGTCACCATGGTTCTTGCTGTGGTGCTGTCTTGCTGAGGAAGGACTGGATGCACACCCACGCCACAATGCTGAAATATGGGTACCTCATTGGTCCCACTACCATGNGATGGCGGCTTTCGATGACATGAAATATTATTCTGCCAACTGGGGAATGGAGGAGCCGATGAGTTGGGGCAACAAGTCTGGATGTGATTTTATTCAAAAGGGTTGCCTCACAGAGATCGGCGTCTCCAATTACCCTGATGCATTCTGTACTGGAGAACAAAGGCTACGGTGTTCAACTGGTCATTTTGGACTTGCGTTTTGCTTCAATGAGAGTGACCCCCATTATTACAATAGGGACTCAAGAGGATCTTGTCCCGTTCTTATTCAACCACTTTATGTTGAAAATGGCTTTCATTCATTTGCCTGCACTGACCTTGGGAATGCCAATTTTCCTGGATTCTTGACGGATGGAAGCTCGATGTGCTTGACAACAGAGGATTATGAGATAGAGCGTGAAAAAGGGATCGAAAAAATGAACGGAGTGTGCGCACAGGTGTTGTGTGATGAAAGCAATCGTACAGTGAAGGTGAAGTACAGTACCAGCGCAGACCAGGCTACAGATTGGGAAGAATGTCCTGAAGGAGGTAATATAACAGTAAGCTCTTCTTCCGCGTCATTGAAGTTCAAGACAATCTACTGCCCCAATTACACTGAAGTGTGCACCATTGCCTCCAACGGCAGCAGTCTTCGTCCACTTGTTAAACCATCTGATCGTAAACCGACTCCAGCCACTCAAGTACCCGGGAACAGCAGTACTACGCCCGTTGTTGCTGTTGGTAATTCTTCTTCTTCTTCATCTTCTTCTTCGTCTGCAGAAGTGCAGGAAAGTGTGGTACAGGAACAGGTGATGGGAGAGACGGTCACAGCACTCGTCTCTCATAACCAGAGTGACATTGCCCACCGGGTTGGTATGGATGGCAGCTCTGCAGCGCATTCCCTCTTACACGCTCTGCTTGTGGCCGTCACTCTTGTGGTGGTGGTGTCTTTGTGAGGGGTGCTTTTGTAATGCACGTGTGGCGAGCAAGGCCGATGGGTGTCTCTCAGTGGACCTCTTACCCGAAACACACAGAGAGAGGGAGTCTGTGTGCGGCAACACCAAACTATGCAATATGATTCCTCTTTATATGATGCTTCTCATGGGCATACATTGCTACGCTTGCATGCATGGGGCTCTTTTTTTCCGGTAAAAATAATGCTTGCTTACTGGGATTGTTTGCAGTCCATTTCTTCATTTGTAACTGAACTGGTAAAGTGAAATTTTTCTTTCCTTTTTTTTGCTAACAACGTTGGCCGCATTTGGCAAACTTGTGTGGAATGATAATACTCTTTTCTTTTTTATTTGCTTTGGCCCTCTGCAATAGGGTCATTTCTTTGCGTATGGGGAATAGGGCAAAAATACATGTTTGGGAAAAAACATATGACGGCAACTTTTGACCCATATAGGTGGGCCACATACTTTTNATATATATATATATATATATATATATATATATATATATATATATATATCAGATGGCTCCACAAATTGGTATCCGGCAGCCCATACGTCTCCTTATTCGACACTTGCCATATGATATCACCATAGAAGCATTATTGGATGTAATACACAAGAGTTGTGAGAAGAGTGTGATCGAAAGTATTAAAGAAGCTTATGTGCTTAGTGGTTACCCACAACAAAACAACCGCCCACGAGTACTTTCAACTGCTGTTCTTGCCGTACAAATGGATGGTGAAATTGAGGAGTGCGAAGGGGTGATTCAGGCTGTGACTGATATCTTTGATGGTCGCACAGTCTTCCCAGAAAGGGAATCTTCTGTATCAGCAGTGGAGTTGTCTCCAGTTTATTTAGCTTCTTTCTCCAAGACACGTGGTAATGGAGAACCAAATCGTGAGATCTCAGCAGAATTTCAACAAGGGAGTATTGAAGAGGATGAGGACTACCGCCGATTTTGCGCGATGTTAAATGCAGAACCAGAAGAAATAAAGTCTAATGTAACACATAAGGAAAGTCAAGATTTAGAAGAAGAAGAAGAAGTAGATGAGCATAAGCAAAAATACGCTGATAAGTGCTCAGAGAAACCAGAATCTATATCTCTTCTTGTGCAGGACTTGTTGGGAAAAATTAAAAGAATGGAAAGACAGAAGAAAGAAAGAAAGAAAAGGTCTGTAAAAGAAATTGGGTTGAAACTGTTGTACCAGAGTCGACGGGAAAGGGCAAGGGTAAGGGAGGTGAGGAAAGATAACAGTAAGCCTCGTGGCGCAGAAAAGAAACGAGAAACCAAGGGTATATCAAAGAATAGGAGCAAAGAAAGGAAAGTATTTGATAGTGTTCAATATGCACAAGAGCTGAGTGCAGATGTGAAGTCGGAGAAGATGCACCAAATATCTATGCAAAATCTAAGGAAAAAACGAAAGGAGGAGAAAAAAAAGAAAAGATCTTGTGATAGAGTGGAAAAGTTAGCTGATGATTGTAAAGGGGATATAATGGACAAGAGAAGAGACCACCGTAAGAAACGTGGTGATAAGAAAAAAGAAGATATTATAAATGTGACTAGAAAAGAAAGGCGACGCAGAGAAAAAGATGTGTGTACAAAAAATGAGAATAAACCAGAAGAGAGGCGGCGAAAACGTTGGGAAAGAGAAGAAAAATATCAATCTAAACCGAGTAACACGAATGAAGTTAAGGATCAACAATTGCATAAGAAGAATCAACGGCATAGAAAGAATAGACAAGAGGATCGATCTGTACGTCACTTATTCTCAAGGAGAGGGGATAATGTAGATAAAAACGAAGAACCGATCAAAAGTTTTCCTGATGAAAAAGTTATTGGCAATATTATATTAGAAAAAAAATATGTGGATCCTTGCCGTGAGGATGACTCTCTTCATGCGTCACGCCTACCAAAAACTGTGAATGCAGGTATTAATAGAGAGGATTCTTCATCCCCTCGCATAGATAAAGTTAGAGAAAGGCAAAGACGACGTGAGCGAAGGGATAAAAAGAACTCTGATCGAAAGGCAAAGAATCAGCCATTGATACTTCGTATATTAACTAAACCAGATGAAAACACTTCCACTCTTTCTAACAACTAGTAGTAAAAGAAATTTTGCTGTTTTTTTTTTATTTTTGGTATACATATACATATATATTGTATTTTCTTGAAGGACTTCCATGTCCTTCTTGAACTCTTTGCTTTACTACCGAAAGTATCAGTTATTGAATGGCATTTCTTAACCGAGTAAGAAATTGACATGATTTTTTTTTGTTTTTCGTTTTTCTTTTGGATATATGCGCTGCAGCGTAACCTTAATTTCTATTTTCCTTGTATTTCTGTAATAGGAAGGTCAACACACTTATTTTATTTTTAATTCTATTTCTTTTTTTTTTCTTCATTAATTATAGTTCTTTGTGTTTCCATCACTTAAGATGTTACCTTACCTCATTTTGACTATTATAATTGCAGTTGCTGTGGCTTGGTTTTCTGGTATTTTCGGTGGCAAAACTTCCGCATCTACGAAAGCACAAAATGGGACCACTGTCACCCCAAATTCATTACCCTCGTCACAGGAGAAAAAGGAAGTAACTGTTTTGTTTGGTTCCCAAACAGGTACGGCTGAGATGTTTGCCAAGACACTAGCACGTGAGGGTGCACGTCTTGGTATTCCCATAAATGTCATTGATGTAGAGAACTACGAGGCGTATAATATCGAGTATGAGCGACTTGTTATTATTGTGTGCGCCACCTATGGTGAGGGTGAGCCTACAGACTCGATGAAAGACTTCCACGATTGGCTGATGGACGAGGCCCGCACACCGGACGAGGAGCTCCGCCATGTGCAGTACGCCGTCTTTGGCCTTGGCGACCGGCAGTACCGCTACTTCTGCGAGGAGGGGGTGGCGGTGGACCGGCGGCTGGCGGCGCTGGGGGCCCGGCGGGTCTACGGCCTCGGGCTGGGCGACGCCGGCTCGGAGCTCGAGGCCGCCTTCGACGAGTGGCGGCGCGACTTGTGGCCGGCGGTGGGCCGCGCCCTCGACATTACCCTCCGCGTCCCCGGCGAGGAGCCCATCGTGCCGGAGTGTCGCCTGCGCCGCTGGGACGCCAGTGAGGCGGAGCCGCTCCCCTTCCCGCGCCTCGCATCGGTTCTCGAACCAACACAGCGACTACCAGCGTGGGTCGCCGTGCAGGGGAATACGGAGCTACTCCAACACACAAAGGAACGTAGCACACGCTGTATAGAGTTGGATCTCAGGGGAACTATTATTTCATACCAGGGAGGTGATCATTTGGGCGTCCTCCCACGCAATCCAGAGGCATTGGTACGAGATTATCTTACTTTACTGGGTGTAAGTGAGGAGGAAGCACAGCAAGTATTTTCCTTACAAGATAAAAAAACAGGTAAAAATGTTTTTCCAGCTCGTGTTACAATTCAAACAGCACTCACATGGTATATTGATATTGCTGGACAACCAAAAAAATCAACTTTACGTGCCTTTGCTCATTATTGTACAAAAACAGAAGATAAAGAAGAGCTTCTACGTCTTTTACGTGTGGATCCAGAATCTGCAAAAGAATTTACTAAACTTGCCTCTAAGTTACGTAACGTATACGGTTTTTTGCGAAAGTTTAGCTCAGCATCTATTCCTATTGAAGTTTTTCTTGAAATGATGCCACGTATTACACCACGTTATTTTTCAATTTCTTCAGATTTGCTTTCACATCCTGAACAATTAAATATTACAGTGGCCATTGTGAACGGTGGACTTTGTACAGGAATGTTGAAAGATGTTAAAATAGGTGAAAAGATTCCCGTTTTTGTACGTAAATCAAAGTTTCATTTACCACTTCGAGCGAAGGAAAGACCACTTATAATGATTGGTCCAGGAACAGGTGTGGCACCTTTAATTGGTTTTTTGCATCGCCGTAACGCATGGAAAGCGAAAGGAAATCAACTTGGAAAAGCCATGCTCTTTTTTGGTTGTAGAAAGAAGGATGAGGATCATATTTATGCAGATTTTATGAACGAATGTTTGAAAAACGGTACTTTAACCGTTTTGGATGTTGCCTATAGTCGAGAACAAACCGAAAAAGTTTATGTGCAAGATCGTATAAAAGTGCGTGCAGATGAAATTTGGGAAATTCTTCAGGATGGTGGAAATCTCTATTTGTGTGGTGACGCCAAACACATGGCCAAAGATGTGGAAAAGACGCTAATACAAATTCTCCAGGAGAAGGGATCCATGAGTGAGGATGAGGCAACAACTTACCTTACAAAACTCGCAGATGAAGAGAGATACTTGAAGGATGTCTGGTCCGCATCATAGCAACTCTGTAAATTAGAGTGGTGTTGTGAGAGAGAGAGAGAGATAGAGAGAAAGAATTAAAGAAAGAAAGAGAAGGAAAAGGTAAAAAAAAAAAAAAAAAAAAAACATTTGAAGAAAAAGAAAAAAAGAAAAAAAAACACACACACACAATGATATAAAAAATGGAAAGGAAAGTATTTAAAGAAAGAAAAAAAAGATGGGAGTATATAGATTCAAAGGGAATGACGAGAGCAAATTAGTGGTGGTGCGCAAAATGCAAATCAATGAAAAAAGCCTCCTAATTTTTGCTTAAAAGAAAAAAAAAAAAAGAGGGGGGAAAAGAGGTTGAGAAATAAAAGAAATAAAAGTGGACATAATCTGATGGGATTGGGAGTGGGAGGTGGGAAGGTAGTTATAACTACTCTTAGATAGTAGTAGAGACACTTTTATGTGATCATGCACGATGTACATATACACATGGGTGTTTTTTTTTTTTTTTGTTGTTGTCGTTCTTTTTTCTCTGTAGTGATGGTGACCTGTATGTCTTTCTTTTTTTCTTTCTTCTGCGTCTGTGATGGAAAAATTAAAAAAATTATCAGCAGGGATTTATGCTCTTCGTTGCTTCTGTACATTCGTACACGAAGTGCGTTGTGTTGGCATCTACTCCATTAGTATTTATTTCTGTAAAGAAGGAAAAAGAATAATAATAATAAAATAATAAAGGCCTTTTTTTTTTTTATTTATCAAGTATAAATAATAAAAAAAAAAGGAAAAGAATCAGGTGTACCAAGTTATTTCATATGGGGATGCCAACCTGCAGAAGAGTTTTATTATTCCAGCAACTACTTTTTCTCTCACATACATTTACACATGCGCAGCATGTGAACCATTGTATTCACAAGACTCCATGAATTAGGTGATGGTTATTTTTGATAGGGGGAGTGGAGGAAATCTAAAAAGAAATATATATATATATTCAATGTATCTTTTTTTTTCGTTTGTTTTGGTTTCTCTCTCGTTTTCTTTTTTTACACTTTTTTTTCTTTTCTTTTCATATAACATTAACTTGTTTTTATGTCTTTGTATCCTTTGCGTCACTTTGTACCTGGAAAACAAACAACAACACCAACAATGAATAACACTGAAAAAAGAAAAGCAACGTACTCTGATATAGATAACCACAGAGGATAACAAATTCCATACATATATATATAGATATACATACAATAGAGAAGAAAAGAAAAGAAAAAGAGGTGGGCGGTAGAGAAAATGGTATTCCCTGTACTGGCGTGCACAGACATCCGCGGGGTTAAAATTAACGTGGAGTTGCCCTTCGATGAACCGCCGGCCTCACTTCACGATTTACACAAAACTCTCGAAGATGTCTTTCGCGGTGAAGAGAACGCCATTCGGCATCAGGATACTACAATACAAAACGGTAAAACTCGTCCCTCCGAGCCGTTTACACTCAGTCGTGTGCAACGGTATGAGGATGATAAACAGACGTGGTCCGAACTTAAAGATGTACGACAATTACGTGCATATGATCAATTGTATGTATTTCGCAAGAATGCCACAAAGGCAGATATATCTGTGCAGCGAGAAATACCGGCCCCACGTAATAGTTTGTACTTTCCATCTCGACAAACTGCAGGGAAGGGATTGGGAAGAAACTCTAGTGAAAGAGGTACACAGCAACCATCATCACTCTCATCACCCCCACCATTACTACCACAAGGACAAGGACAAGGACAAGAAGAGAAAAAATATCAAGATCATCCATTATTATCCATATCGTCAACTACACAAGGTGGTGATAATATTCATTCGAATGGAATCTCTCACACACCACCACCACCATCATCATCATTATTAATGCGACGCACAGAAAATCATTTTGGTTCTCCAAATGGTGGTCCTTTAGGTCCATCTAGAGATCAAACACATAATGGTTTTGCGGAATCCTACACAGGGCCTCTCATTCAGGATCAAATAGATACTGTTTTTGGTATTGGTGATCCAACACATAAAGGGTATTTAACTGTGCGTGATTTTCAAAGTATATTTCATGCCTGTCAGATTCAATTTCCACCGGATGTCGTTGAGGATTTACACCGTTCCTTCGCAAAAGAAAAACGTGGAGAACTAATTATGTCATTTCATGACTTTCATAGTTATGCACGTGATTTTGCGCAAGCAATTAACATCGCCTATTCACGTTGGAAAAACCAAGAGCGACAAAAGACTCTTGAACGGGAATATCATAATGCCAATTCCACTGTGGATGATCTTCAAATGCAAAAGAGAGCTTTAGAAGAACGTCTAGAAGCCATAAAGAAACAATTAGAGAGAGAACAGGAAAAGAAAGCTCGACTTGAGAATGAGGCAGATGAGATGAGAAGATTGTCCAATCCAGATTATCGTATGCAAGAACAGAAACTCCTCGACAAGGAAGTTAGTGTATTTAAGTATAGACAAAAACTTCACCAAGAGGAGATTGATTATGAACGTTTAGCAGAAGAACGCCGGCGGCGAACACCGAGTGCGATGCCAGATCATTTACAAGCTAAAAGTTCTGTTGATCGCTACGGGCCGCGTGACTAGAAAAAATCAAGGGAAAGAAAAGAGAGAAGAAGAAAAGAAAAAGAAATAATAATAATAGTTTAAGTGAAGTCAATGGTACTGTTGTCCCAAGTAGGTGGAATAGAAAATGTGTACCCAAATATGAGAATAAAATAATAAAAAAAAAANTCGACCCAACGTTCGCCAGGCTGCCCACCTTATTGCACACGCACTTGGCTTCGACTACGAGCGGATGAAGAGTCTTGAGATGATCACCACCATCGAAGTGCGTGGTGTGAAACGAGTGGTGGTGAAATCCGATATGACTAAGAAAAAGACACAGGAACACTACGACTGCAGTG